ATTATGAAGTTGCCGTCTAGATGGAAACAGATCATCGAACAAAACGGCGCATATTTTAACTAAATCCGATCACTGTAACACTTTTTATAAAACATTGAATGAAGAGCAAAAAAGCGGAATTTGACAACCTAATATGTATATGGTTTCCTTGCACCTCAGCTATGTTTTCTTACGCATCAACGGATGTTTTTGCTGGTTCATTCGCTTGAACTTCAACCTCATCCAAATTAGAGTCATTTTAGACAGCGAAATTGTGCAACACTCTACAGGCAACAATGATGCTCATAGTTGCGCTGAGCGATACTCTCAATCCCTAGCTCCTCGTAATGCAATTTCGAGTACGGGCTTGATATTCATTGTAAAAACGTTCAGCGCACAGATTGGGATGTAAAAGTTGACACATCATATAGTTGCTGACAAACCATAACCACTACCATCCAATTAAAGGAAGTCCCTAAAATCGTTTTGCCCAAACCGGTGGTTCAGGCAGTAATTATTAAAAATAAAGCTATCATGTCCAGAACCAGGTCACCTGCATACAAATTCCATTGCTTCCATTTTACAAGTACCCTTTTCAACTTGGAATTATTTTCACAAACCTTTTAATCCGGCTCCTAATTTTACTTTTTTTTTTTGGTATACGTCACGTTCTTTCCCTAAAATAAGCCTCTGAACCAACGTAGCCAGATAGGCAAATGAAACGCATATAATAAAATTTATTTTAAAGCAAACACCGGAATACTATTTTATTTACTATTTTACAATTTTCAGCTGTCAAATTATCTTCTGGTTAAGGGCTAATCGCCACTCAATGTTGGCGTTAAGTTCACCGCAACTTAATTGACAGATGCGCCTTAACCGAACATTGTGAAAACGAATTGTATGATACCTTCCGATTAAGTTATTATTAAGTGCTTAACCGGAGATGGTGAAATCGGCCCTTAGCTGGGATACTACCCTGGAGTGTCAGGGTATACCTATCCGGTCAGGCGATGCGGAGCTCGAGATATTTAATATATACATTCCTCCTGTTACAAGTTGCCCAGCTGGATACAGACCTGATATAGATGCGCTACTCAGGGGCGAAAACCGTTTGGTTTTGGGCGGCTTTAGCTCGCATCAAGATCTTTGGCTTTCTAGTCTGTCAAATGACCGTAGAGGAATGGAGCTGGCAGAACAGATAGACGATTCGACATTCTGCACAATGAACGATAACACCCCCCAGAGTTATGGGTAATTGCCAAAGCTCGCCGGATATAACAATTGCGAGTGCTGGTCTGATGAACAGTATAGTCTGGCGACCTGTACTGACGCTAGTATTGGACCACTCGATTGACAGGCCTCCCGACTTTGTTTCCGCGGATCAAAAAAAAAAAAAATTAACTGGTCCAGCTTTACGGAATTCACAGAGCACGCCTTTAGTGCTCTCCCCACTCTATCAGACTTCACTATTAGTGAACGTTTATTCCGCAGGCTCGTCGTGACCGCTGCCGCCCACTTTATCCCGGCAGGCTGAATTGCGGAGATCCGCCAAAATTTCCTGACGGAAGTGGCGGTATGAGCATCGAGGCGCGACACCCTCCGAAACTCCAATCGGGGGAATCCTCTAAAACGTGAAGGTTGTATTGGAAATATTGAAACCGATTCGAATGACTGTTCTCGAACGAATGAGCATTTATTTTAATGTATTTTATTGATTTCCAACATTCCTCCTCAAAAAAATATTCGCTGTTGTATATACTTAAAATTAGTTATAACCCATTGAAATAAATAATAAATACATACTATATACTTTATATTAAGAAAGATCTTACATTTCAGCAAATTTGGAATGATTAGTTTTTGACAAATTCTTGGTAAAAATATAAGCTACCATCTGATTCGTTGAAGCGAATCTTAATTCAATTTCTTTCTTCAAACATACTTCGCCAATATTACGATATCTACCCTGCAAGAAGGCTTCCGATCATTTGAGCCAACATACATATGTCAGGAATGCATGACGACATATCCCGTCAGCTCGTAAAACGATTTTCCTATCACTTTCTTAAGGCCGAAATGACAAACGTGATGTTTACATTTGTATACGTGTGCGTCATTATCTCTTCGTTTCCTTGTGCATTATTGTCATTCTTGTCGGACAAACCGAACACAGCTGAGCGACAGTGTTGATACCAAAAGAAAACATTATGGACGTAAAAAAACAGCAGCAGTGCCGTACAAGACGAACACAAATGGGCGACACCATTGGCATCGAAGGAAATCAGCTTTGACAAAAATTTTCCCTACATATATACATACATACAAACATTTTTAAGATTCAGTCTTTATTTCAATATTTAACACAAATCATGTGCATGTTTACATAGCATACAAAAGAAATAACAATACAACAAAAATAAGCAAAATATTATAAGAAAAACCGCATATACAGAAGTCTCTAATAGTGACGCAGCTCCAGCTCCCCGAACGCCTCCGCCATAATCGCATCTCCTTTGGAGTATAAAGACGTCTAAGTAAAATAAAAAAATAATGTTCGAATCATAAAATTATTAATATCTTAATGCAGTGTCCATTCTACATAACATGCTCCATTTACAGAATTTTCTGTACAATATGGAGTACCCTTAAATAAAAACCATGTAAAGAGTTATGAAAAATGAAGTAATTAATTAATCCACAATATATCATTACTGCAACTTGTACAGGACCCTCATCATATATTTTTCACTTCTATCTGCGATAAACAATGGCGTTCTACTCGATAATAAGGCTGCACTACCCATTTTACTTACCAGCCGTCCATAAGTGGCGACGCCAAGGCGAGATACATACACAAGTTATCGACGCTGCTGAGAGCGGCGAAATGTCGCCAGCTGCCAGTGTGTTTGCACACTTTTGAGCGAATTCTTAATTTTCGTCAACGAATTTTATAATTTATATGCTTGATTATAAACGCAAGGCAAATATACATGATATATATGGTAACAAATAGTTACGCATTTAGTTTTAATTTCATTTGATTATTAAATATTACTTTAAGAAAGACTATACTGACAGTCTTGTATAGCAACGAGAAATGAGCCGAGCCGGTTTTACGGAAGAAATCAAATCGCCATTGGTTTCTGCGGGACAACCGTCGCTAAAGGCATGGGCAAGCAGTGACAACTTTGTGTTAAGATGGCGCTCTCATAAGATAGGTTACTATGGAAGGCTGGTACGCGCGTTGGGTAGTTGCAGCATAAGAGCAAAGAAAATCCGTTCAACTGCATTCTCTTATATGTTAGTACTGCCCGAAATCGTGTGAGTGTATTGGTGAACCCATCGGCCCGATCTTGCAGGGTAATGTCGATAGGACTACTATGCGCGTGATTAACTATTCTTTATAAGATGCTGTGCGCTAACATTATCTCGGTTGGTTGATTGTTGCACTGTAGACCCTTTTCTACTAAAAGTTTTCTTATATATTTACCGGTTCTTTTGCAGTAAATTTTTCTTCTAATGTTATTCCTTGCTCTTTGCTTCCATCCAATTTTTGGAATGCTTCGAATTCATTGCCTACTTTACTGTTTCAGGTACTTCTACATTCTCATTGCAACTTATTGCACTAACAGTACTAGGTTGTTTTCGTAGTCGACCTGGTTTGTCGCTGCGAACGATACTTGGTTTCCCTCGACCAAACATTATATTGTCTTCTGATAATTCTTCATTGAAATTATCGTCGATATTGATGGACTCTCGATCTTCTTGTGGTAATGGAACACGCTTGAGGACCTGCAACCTTTCCTCTGGCTACAGTCAAGTGGTTGTCAAGCCCGACGAGACGCGACGACAGGGTGGAAAATCACACTCATTCGGACCCAAAGAGATGCGCGAGCTATTTTAGCCGACTTTTTACACTGCATCTTTCGGTAGACAAAGCGAAGCGACATGTTACCCGCGAGGTTCAGGGGGTCATAGGGAAGGCAAAAGCCTCCAAATCTATCGGCCCCGATGGAATAAACATGCTGATGCTAAAACATCTCCGACCAGCGCAAGCAAAATTTCTTACCAAGTGGGACATGGGCTACTTGAGTGGTCGACAATCATCGGTAATATTCCGACGTGAAACATCGAAACCCAGAAAAATTAAACAGGGTGTTCCGCAGGGTATTGGCCCCTCCCCGCTACTGTTTAATTTTTACATTTCGAAACTCCGACCTCCACCAGAAAGAGTTTCCCTAACCTCGTATGCCAATGATTGCACGATAATGGCGTCTGGCCAGGATATTGATGACCTCTGTTTGAAAGTGACACTAGACAGCCTACACTCTTTCACTCCGCATATGACCTCAAAAGCCACAACTAAATACTCAAAACGCTAGCTGGCAGTAAACATACAAAGCAATTGGCCAGTCGGTCGTAAACAATTGTATTCTACACTGATCTGGACGCCGGGGACGAACGAGACGCAGATGAAGAAGCTATAGGCTTGCCAGAGCACTGCCCTCAGGACTGCGACAGGAAGCCTGCAGATATGACCGGAGCATCACTTGCACAGTGAAGCATCTATGCTACGAGTAACATGCGCAACAACCGCTGGACACGACGAAGTACAGAACAGGCACTGAACGCCATTCACCAGGAGTAAGTCAACAGCTTCGAAGACTCTCTTCCAGAGAGTGGCGTGCTCGGAGTAAAATCACCACCCATTGCAGACAACGAGCTCGAGCTGCCTCGAGAGGCAGGCATAGCCTTGACACAACTTAGGTCTGGATACTGTAACAGATCAAACTCTTTCCTATCCAGACTCGGCCCCAGCATTTCCAACGTATGCCCTGCATGTGGAAAATCTCCGCACGACACTAGCCACCTCTACATATGAGACGACTTATATAACCTCCCTCTCCCTTTGGTCCGATCCGGTTGAAGCAGCTCGTTTCCTGGACCTCCCACTAGATGACCACGGCGACTTAGATTGATAAAACCTGTACCTAAGCAGGGTTAGCGAACCGTTGCAGCAACAACAACAGCATGATACAGAGAACTATATATTTTCACAGCCGATTTACTTATCATTACTCATGCCAACAACAAAAGTTTAGGCCGTTTTTGACGAACATAACAGCAAGTCAATACAGTATAGATGAATCAAGATAATTTGTGTGAATATTGAACTCTCCTTGTGTAAACAAGTAAAAAAAAAAGGAATTTAATTTTTGCTTTAATTTCATTACAACGAAGGTTTCAATTACATTTCTATTAACAGGAATAAATACAAGAAACTAGTAAACTTTTTGGTGTAGGCTGTACTATACCCGTATGGCTTAGACCTTACAAAGCTGAAGAGATATTTCAAGCTTTTCTTCTGGTGATATGTTCCAAATCCTTGAAGAAGCAGGGCCCTTTTTGAATTCTTTTTCCGTCATTTTTGAAAAATTAATTAGATCGAACATTTCATTAAGAGTTATATCCTTACTTGGAGGTATTATTTTGGCATTATCGCCATCATCTCCGTCACCGCCTAGTTTATTTACAACAAATTCATCCATATTTAAATTATTTATTTTCGCGTAGTTTTCAATTAAAATGAAACGTTCTATCTCCGTTAATTTAAGAACTGGCAACAGAAGTAAATCATAGAAATCTAAACCTGATAAATCGTAGATGGATGAATTTTGTAATAATTCCTTCGAATCAAACCAACACGTGTTTTTAAATTCTACCAGCGGAATACTAGTGCGCTGTTCTGTTTTCACATAAATCGAATCCAGTTTATGCCTTTTTTCATATTCAAACAATTGTACGAAATCATACAAATTTATGACATTCTCCGCAGCGTATTTCACCACTTTAATATGACAATTTGTCACGATTTCATCCAATAAGAAGTAATCTGCTAGGTATGAAACATGCTTTAACCGTTCCAAACTTATTTTATCTAATAACGGCATCTTCTTATAGTAAACATGCTCCAATATCACTTTGAAGTCAGCAAAGTCCTCAACATTTGGTAACGGTATAGGAGCATCGTTATTCGCTTCTTGATAATTACCATTAAACATACTTTCAAAAACGGTCGAACCTCGAGATAGTATTGATTTATGGGCTCCTATAATTTTCGCATTAACACCTCTACCAATAATGAAACTGCAATCGGTACGCAGTGACCCAAGTAAAGCTACCTTTTTGGTATAACTGGAAATATAAATCAGTAAATAATATAAGGGAATGATGTTCAATTAAATCTGCTTGCCTTAAGTTCTGCCAAACATCCCCATTTAACGCCATTACTTTCTGAGAAGTTTATTTGTACTATAGTCTTTAAAACCGCAGATTCAGAAATCGTTTGAAAACCGTTTAACGAAGGAAACAATGCCGATATCGATAACAAACCAAATTAAAAGAAATATTCAAAATAATGATAACAATAGTGGTGGCGAAAACTCAAAATACGCATGTGAATAGATCGATATTTATGCTGGAAGATCAGCAGTGCAATTCTGTAACTTTTTCGACACGATTTGTCGGATCGCAAAGTTACGAATTTTGTCGCTTGCGCTAACGATTATGCGATTCTCTAACACAGTTGTTACGATAATCGACATCGCACATTTCCATTTTATTAAAATGTAGGAAAGGTGGCACCACAGCTCAACGAAACGTCAAAATGTACGAAAAGCACAAAGAGGAATGACAAAAACAAATAAATTTGTTATTGAAATTATTTTAATTAAAAGAATAGCAATGCATTACAAAGTTTTTCAATAGCATGTTATGGTTTGCACTTTCATGCATGACTCTTCGCTCTATAGGGGAGCTCCAAATAAAATAATTGTGCCGCGCTCTTGGGTACTTGGCATTTGCCAGTATAATCTTGCGATAAGGACCATATATCTATGTGAAAATATAATTAACTTTGTTACTACAATAGTAATCGGAAACAAATTTACTCTCACCATTTGCACATTGATGGAGTGGTATCCATGGTGGTTTATATACGCTTCTTCATGGTTTTTAACTCATGTGCAATCGATAGCTCCAATAGTGCCTCCAACATATGGTGACGATGACGAAGCAAAAATTTGGAAAACTAACAGAAAACCTTGAACGGTTGATTGCGTCTGTTACGCGATGAACACAACGGTTTACTGACGACTGACTCATGGACATGCCCATTGCAAAAAATCGCGAGGCGGGTAGAACCTTTAAACATTATAATAGTGTTAAGACTAAAAAAAATATTGAAAATATATATTATTACCTGTTTCTCCGTAGACAATGCTGTTATTCTTCTTCCTTTTAGTTGGCAATCTAGTTCAGAAACGATTTCTTCAACTAAATCCGGCGAAACTCGGTAGCATCCAAATGAAAAGGATCTTCCGCTTCTCGACGCAAACTTCTATTCAATGATGAAGATTAGGATACCTCGTCATATTGTGATAAAACGTATGCCAAATATTCAAAACCATTTCTTTTATTTTTTTATTTTTATTTTTGTATAACTTTGACAATTTCCCGGACACTTTACTCTCTTAAATGAAATAACAAAATTTTGTCGATATCGCTAACAACTTAAAAATATTCGTCGCTTAGTTAGCGATTTTTCGAGTAGTTTACGACAATAGCGAGAGCGAATATCGTTATAACAAGTACACCGAATATTAAAATCGTTAGAATTATCGCTAAGTCTTCTTTGCGATCCGAAAATCGTTATACTAGTCTTAGAGAATAGCGAATATCGTTAAAAATATCGTTAAGTCTTCTTTGCGATCCGAAAATCGTTATACCATTTTAGAGAATAGCGAATATCGTTAAAAATATCGTTAAGTCTTCTTTGCGATCCGAAAATCGTTATACCATTTTAGAGAATAGCGAATATCGTTAAAAATATCGTTAAGTCTTCTTTGCGATCCGAAAATCGTTATACCATTTTAGAGAATAGCGAATATCGTTAAAAATATCGTTAAGTCTTCTTTGCGATCCGAAAATCGTTATACCATTTTAGAGAATAGCGAATATCGTTAAAAATATCGTTAAGTCTTCTTTGCGATCCGAAAATCGTTATACCATTTTAGAGAATAGCGAATATCGTTAAAAATATCGTTAAGTCTTCTTTGCGATCCGAAAATCGTTATACCATTTTAGAGAATAGCGAATATCGTTAAAAATATCGTTAAGTCTTCTTTGCGATCCGAAAATCGTTATACCATTTTAGAGAATAGCGAATATCGTTAAAAATATCGTTAAGTCTTCTTTGCGATCCGAAAATCGTTATACCATTTTAGAGAATAGCGAATATCGTTAAAAATATCGTTAAGTCTTCTTTGCGATCCGAAAATCGTTATACCATTTTAGAGAATAGCGAATATCGTTAAAAATATCGTTAAGTCTTCTTTGCGATCCGAAAATCGTTATACCATCTTAGAGAATAGCGAATATCGTTAAAAATATCGTTAAGTCTTCTTTGCGATCCGAAAATCGTTATACCATTTTAGAGAATAGCGAATATCGTTAAAAATATCGTTAAGTCTTCTTTGCGATCCGAAAATCGTTATACCATTTTAGAGAATAGCGAATATCGTTAAAAATATCGTTAAGTCTTCTTTGCGATCCGAAAATCGTTATACCATTTTAGAGAATAGCGAATATCGTTAAAAATATCGTTAAGTCTTCTTTGCGATCCGAAAATCGTTATACCATTTTAGAGAATAGCGAATATCGTTAAAAATATCGTTAAGTCTTCTTTGCGATCCGAAAATCGTTATACCATTTTAGAGAATAGCGAATATCGTTAAAAATATCGTTAAGTCTTCTTTGCGATCCGAAAATCGTTATACCATTTTAGAGAATAGCGAATATCGTTAAAAATATCGTTAAGTCTTCTTTGCGATCCGAAAATCGTTATACCATTTTAGAGAATAGCGAATATCGTTAAAAATATCGTTAAGTCTTCTTTGCGATCCGAAAATCGTTATACCATTTTAGAGAATAGCGAATATCGTTAAAAATATCGTTAAGTCTTCTTTGCGATCCGAAAATCGTTATACCATTTTAGAGAATAGCGAATATCGTTAAAAATATCGTTAAGTCTTCTTTGCGATCCGAAAATCGTTATACTAATCTTAGAGAATAGCGAATATCGTTAAAAATATCGTTAAGTCTTCTTTGCGATCCGAAAATCGTTATACCATTTTAGAGAATAGCGATTATCGTTAAAAATATCGTTAAGTCTTCTTTGCGATCCGAAAATCGTTATACCATTTTAGAGAATAGCGATTATCGTTAAAAATATCGTTAAGTCTTCTTTGCGATCCGAAAATCGTTATACCATTTTAGAGAATAGCGATTATCGTTAAAAATATCGTTAAGTCTTCTTTGCGATCCGAAAATCGTTATTCCATTTTAGAGAATAGCGATTATCGTTAAAAATATCGCTAAGTCTAATTTGCGATCCGAAAATTGTTATACTGTGCTTAGAGAATAGCAAAATCGTTAAAATTATCGTTAAGTCATTATAACGATCCGAAAATCGTTATAATACGATAGAGAATTGCCCTGCAGTTCGATTTGAACTCTTTATTGAAAATATCGTTGTACAATAAAATGAAGACAGCGTATAGAGGAGTATGGAAACTATCAGCTGTTTTACGAAATCAACTAACAGCTAAGAGTAGCCTTTGTATTTGACAAGGGTACCTAGGAGTTTAATATAGTTTTAGAAATCTAGCATTGGGAAATTTCGTAAGGAGGAAGTGATGAGGTGGTTAGTGTCGTGCGGAGACTCAGCACATGCTGGGCATACATTGGGTATGTTGGGGTCGAGTCTGAATAAGAAGGATATTAACCTACTACAATATCTAGACCTGAGCTGTGCCAGTGTCACGCGGGTCTTTCAAGGCAGGTAGTTTAACTCCGAGTGCGCAATCACCGGAAGGGAGTCTTTGTAGGTGTTGACTCCTGCTGACGCCTGGTGAATGGATTTCAGTGCTTGTCTGTACGCTGAACTGTACAGCGGTTTTTGCTCCCTACATTAGCATCCCAATAGGAACTGCTTGCACAGCAAAGCCTTTTACTCTTTAATTCATAGCATAAATGCTTCACTGTGCAAGTGATGCTCCGGTGACATCATAAGGTTTGCTTTCGCGGTTCTGGTGGCAGTATTCTGACAAGTCTGTAACTTCTTCATCTGCGCCGTGTTCGTTTACGACGCCCAGATCGGTGCAGAATCTTGAGGTTATTAATGGAAATTTGTATGTCATCAACCTTCATATCTAATTCGAGCCTGCGTTCCTTCGTCCAGCTGGTGAAGAAGGTAGCCGAGGATTTCGTTGGTTGTATATATGTAAATTGTCTTGCAGTGAAGAAATGGGACAGGTCGGCGAGATAGCAGTTCATTTTCGAATAAAGGTCATCAATATCCTGGCCAGACGCCACTAGCTGAACGAAAGTGTACCTGCTCAATGTGAGAGTCGATAGCGTAAGAATTCCATCAATTAAGAACCCGAAGTAACTTCGCATTTGACTACAGTAGCCATAAAACTCCAAAGTCGCAATAAAATCTTCAAAGCGTTTAGCTTCCTCGAGAGTCCCACGTGATTAATTTCAATAAAAAATTAAGTTAAATTTTATATTTTTTATTATGTTATAGCGGAAATGCCAAATACGAATGACGGATGAAAAGGAGATGCCAACAACTAAAGCACATTCTTGAGCGCGGGAATCGAAATAGTCTGTATATCGTAATATCATGCTAGAAACATCCAAAACTGAGTACGAGCATTATTGACTGAGTGAAAATAGTAGAGCGTGAAAGTTGTAAAATAAGTGGGTATTGAAGAGTAATAAATGTTTAATGAATTCTCAGCAAATTAGGAAACTGTAAAAAATTTAAGTTACTCTTATATTTAACAATCTAGTGGTCGGACTCGAAGGTTTTGAGAAATCATCGAGCCTTAATTAGCAAAATCGCAACAATTGGTGTCAGAAGTGGGATTGGGAATATAAAAATGGCCAAGATTCAGGATTTGACGATATAAGATCGAGGAATCTTCAGATGTATCGTCCAATCACCTCGCCGAACGCTTTCAAGGTAAAATACCATCCTTTGATGGTACAATCCCTTTCCGGCGAATAAATGAAGTATGTCCGAAAATCCCCTGTCTTACTCTTTGCAGCAGCAATTTTGCAGACGGTTCCCGATTGTGAGATGGACAGCTTTGACGCATTGATAAGAGCTGTAGAAAGACATTATAGCACTAAGCACATGAGGCAAGTCTATCAGATGGAGCTCGGGAATCGGAATCAAAAACTCAATGAATCTCTGCAGGTGAACACCTTGAAAGAGTAAAAATCAAGAGGTTAATCGGCGGATAAAAGAATTTATACACAAAGCGGAAAACATATGCGAATCTGATGTCAACATTTGCGGAAACTGTGGCATAGCTTAGACACGGGAGAGGGCACCACTTATAAAAAGACCTGCTAACAAAACGAATCGTGAAGAGATGAAGAGTCCAGATGTGACGAAGGAAATCCTGGCAACGCTGAAATTCCTCGAAAGAGAAAATTTGCAGCGCTGAAACCGGTAAAAACACTAGAGAAGTGGTATACATGTGGGAAATCAGGTCGCTTTGCACGAGAATACAATACACCATCCACTCATTTGATAAACTAGAACGAGCCAGCCGAAAGGGGCGTTTGCTGGCTCCTGGAATTAAATGACCCATATACTCCGTCTCGCAAATTGGTAGAATATGTGAATATGAGCGAATACTAACTGCGGATACGGTCGCGCTAAAGAAGTAAGGCCATTACCTGTAGCAATATTAAGGACGGCAACTGCAGAGAAAAGTCACCATATGGAATGTGGCAGAGTTACACACGTTCATAGTCGCAGAGTTTGTCAATGAGGTCATCATAGGAGTAGACTTCTAGCTGGGAAGAGGCATTGATATCGATATGTGTCACAGAATTATGGAGTACAAATATGGAACTTTCACTTAGCATTAGTACTCATGCAGCAATAAGCGAGTAGTCCTAGAAGACATCGAGCAGATTCCATTAAAGCCAGAAGCAGTTGTTTGGGCAAAGACTGATGGAGATTGCGGAACAAGCAAGTTTCGGGTTGTTGATGCATTGGACGTACTTGTTGGTTAAGCCTTGACAAAGACGTAAAAGAATGGGCGACTCCCAGTTCGGCTATTAATTGAATTTAATCAACAATTAAATTTCGAAAAGGCAATGTGACGAGACAGTGCTTAGAAGTGAATGCCATTTAGATTTTATAGCTGATATCATCGCTTACATCCTTTGTTTAAGTGCAAGAGCATATAAAATGTCATAGAACTATGTGTGATAGATGTTTGCTTGTTGAAGCTCGTCATATCACACTAAGCATTTGCCCCAATTCCATTACGAAGTTGACCGCACGATCAGATCTTCATATCAACATAATCCGCAAGGATCGCGAGCGAAACCATGGTGGGGGCCTAGCGTTCATCTTGCACAACACCGTGCAGTTACGTCTTATCGACGGCGACATCGACCGCAGGGATACTACTCTAGAATGTCAGGGCATAGCTATCCGGTCAGGCGAAGCCGAGCTCAAGATATTTAGATAGGTGCGCTACTCAGGGGTGAAAACAGTTTGGTTTTAGGCGACATTCTGCACAATGAACGACAACACTCCCACCAGAGTTATGGGTAATTGCGACCTATACTGACACTAGCATCGGGGCACTTGTCCATACAAACCTCGATTGACAGGCCTCCCCACTTTGTTTCCGCGGACCGCCGGACATTTGCTAACTTTAAAAAAGCTAACTAGCCCGGCTTCACGGAATTCATTGAGAACGCCTTTAGTGCTCTTCCCTCACCACTGGTGAGCGTTTATTCCGCAGGGTCGTCGTGACCGCTGCCGCCCGCTTCATCCCGGCAGGCCGAATTGCGAAAAACCGCCCAAATATTCCGATAGAAGCAGCGATATTAGCATCCAGGCGCGACACTCTCCGAAGCCCTGATCCCGAGAATCCCCTAATCAGGGATTTAAACGCGGAGATTCGTAGAGTAGCCAATAACCATGATCGTGGGTTGACTAGGAATACTTAAGGACCTACAATCTCTGCTCTTGGGTAACCAAGCTCTGGGCTACAGTCAAGTAGCTGTCTAGCCCCCCGACGAGACGCAATGACCGGGTGGAAATTTCAATCGGTGATCGCGCCTCAACGGACCCGAAGAGATGCGCGTGCTATTTTAGCCATATTTTCACACTGCATTCTCCGGTAGACAAAGCAAAGTGACGTGTGACCCGCCGTATTTGCAAACTGCCAAACACCAGCACGGTGCTTGACTTCTCCAGGGAGGAAGTTCTGGGGGTCATCGGGAAGGCGAAAGCATCCAAATTCGTCGGCCCCGACGGAATAAATATGCTGATGCTCAAGCACATAGGACCAGCGGGAGCAGAATTTCTCACAAGGGTCCTTAATTTGTCTTTGACCACCCTAATGATACCCAAACATGTGGAAAATGGGCAGGGTGGTCCCGCTACTCAAACCGGGGTAACCAGCCAACAAAGGTGAGTCCTATCGGTCGATAACTCTCCTCTCCCCAGTAGCGAAGACACTTGAGGCCTTGCTGCTCCCCACGTTCACTCACTATCTGCCTCCGGCAGCAATTCAGGAAAAGCACAGCACCACAACTGCACTAAACCCCATAAACACCCAGATAGTCAATGGCCTTAACCATAACCGACCCTGCCCGCGAACTATCCTGGTAGCACTAGATGTCAAAAGCTTTTGACACAGTCAATCATTCAGTGCCACTAACGGACATTAAGGAATCTTCATTACTGCGCTGGTTGCAAAGGTGGGTCATGGGCTACCTGAGTGGTCGACAATCATCGATAATATTTCGAAGTGAAGCATCAAAACCCAGAAAAATTAAATAGGGGGTTCAGCAGGGTGGTGTCCTCTCCCCGCTACTGTTTAATTTCTCAAAACTCCCTCCTCCACCAAAAGGAGTTTCCCTAACCTCTATTCTTCATTACACGACAACTAAAAATACAACAGAGTAAATCCTCGGCTACTCTCTTCACCAGCTGGACGAAGGAGTACAGCCTTGAACTAGATAGGAAGGTCGATGACAGAAAAATTCCGACGGTAAATAACCTAAAGACATTGGGAGTAATATTAAACAGCCTGCACTCCTTCACTCCGTATATGACCGCAATTGCCGCAAAACTCCGGAGCCGCAACAAAATACTCAAAGTTTTAGCTTACCGCACCTGGGGTAAGGCAAAGAAACTTTGCTGGCAACATATAAAACAATTGGCTGGCCGGTCGTAAACTATGCTGCACCAATCTGGGTGCCGGGAACGAACGAAACGCAGATAAAGAAACTACAGGCTTGCCAGAACACCGCACACTTGTACAGCGAAGCATCTATAGTACGAGTAAGGGAGCATAATGCTTTGCTATGCAAGCAGTTCCTATTGGGATGCTACCGCAGGGAGGCATAGGCGCCTAATAGAAGCTGAAAGGGATCTTAAGGACCCAATCCAGTAACACGTGCAACAACCGCTGGACAGGACGGCGTACAGAAAAGCACTGAACGCCATTCACCAGTTGTCAGCTCGAGCTGCCTCGAGAGACCCGCGTGACTCTGACACAACTCAGGTCTAGATATTGTAGCAGTTTAAACTCCTACTTATGCAGACTAGACCCCAGCATATCCAACATATGCCCTGCATGTGGAGAGTCTCCGCACGACAATAACCACCTCTTCATATGCCCTCTCAAGCCAACTCATCTAACCTCCCTCTCCCTTTGGTCCAACCCCGTCGAAACAGCTCATTTCCTGCACCTCCCATTAGATGACTTCGGCCACTTAGATTGAGCAAACCGCGACAACAACAACAGCATAAAAGCCCGATTTAACAAAGCGACAGGAAAGAAGGGATATCAGGAACGAGATCTAGTTGAATTTCCATCCTCAACGGAACAAAGGATTGTTGCCGAGATTACAAGTGCAATCGGAAGGGTCTTTACAAAGTTATAAAAAGTCTGAATGACATTGTGTATCGAATCCAGACCATGCGACACCAAGAATTTTCGTGCAAGCATAGAGATTACTAACTATACAACTTTTTTCAATCCCACTGCTTATTCACACAGTTTACTCAGCTTCGCTTTACATCGATGTTATCACCAACGGGCTTACATCGTAATTGTCCAAGGGTGTTGGCCTCTCATATAGCTCACTATTTGCTTGTACTCAGCTCGGGAAATTTCTTACGACAATCAGAATTGTCGATATTCACGCTCTAGAAGGTGTTGTCGTGCTCTTCTTTTTATCTGTCACTCGTATTTACTACCTTCGTCACAGTTATAATACACATTGTGAGATTTGTAGAACTAATGGAACAGCCTATGCGCGCCTAAGTAAAAAAACTTATTACCCGGTGGCAGCATTGATGGTTGCAAAACAAAATGAACTTGTTAACTTTGTTTTGTTTATTTTGCTGTTTACTTTTGTTCAATTTTATTCTTAAGTGAGTATTATTTGCGATTGGGTGTATATTTGCGGGAACTTTTTTAAGGAAAATCATAAAATCTTTGCAAAATTGTGAGAAATGACAAAATTGTAATAAAACTTATCTCCTCACATAGATTTTAAATTTGTACGTGAAAAGGAAAAAAGTAAATGAAATGTCAGGGAATGCTAAATCGGGTAAAGTGGTATCCTGTGTAATGCGTAGAAAATGCAAATTGTGAGTGATTACGAAAATGGCCAAGCTGTAACTAAATAGTTTACTAACATTTGTGCCTGAACTTTTTTTTTGAACTTGCTCTCGTCAACAAATTAAAAGTGCATCGGTATACATATCAGTGAAACTCCCTCCATACATTAAGATTTTATTACCAACTATAAGTTTCACAGATTTAGCTTTGGAAAGAATCATCGATTTCAGAACAGATTAGTTTTGGGCCGTAAGTATTTATGCTAACCAAATGTTTACAGTAAAACAAAAAAATGGATTTACTCAAATTTTAAAACTATCAAATTTGAACAATCACAAACGCTTGTCCACACTTTAGAAAGAGACTTCGTTCGTCCACCCTCTGCGTCTCAAAATTACCAAAGAAAATTCTGCCAAGAATAACGGAAAAGCAGTTCAATACGGTATTTGCATATTAATTCGCCTGCTCTTTAATCAATCACTTTTGAGCTCTGTATTACAACATTGCCTACAAGTTTCTCAGTGCAGAAGTAATTATAATGAATGAACAGTGTTTTGAAGTGACTTGGATGAAACAAAAATAGTACATGTAATAGTTTGCTAGACCAAACAAGTTACTTAGATATTTGCCCAATGTATTTATCAAACAATCTCATTATTAGATTGCTTATTGCTAATTATCATGCGTTTTCTAATATAATACATTTTTTTGCTCATATAAAGTAGATGTAATCCAGACAAATTACATATGTATGTACATATATGTATGTACTGAGAATGTACAAATATATCTAGACATATGCCAACTTCTTTAAATATTTTTACTTGACAAAGTATGACATCACTTATGTTTCCGAAAGCACAACCACGTTTGGATGAGAGTGTTAACAGAAATACAACAAAAATAGATATCGTAAGAGTTGAATTCAAAAGAGATAAGTAGTTGATTAAGAGCTCTATAGAGTAGATACTGAGATCCTTCTAGAGATATTCGAAAGTAATTCCGAAACTACCCTAGCAGTTGCCCTTAATTAAAAAACAAGTACTTATGAAGGTACATACATTAAACCAGTTTAAGTTATTTATCTATATATTTTTAGTTAATAAGATAATAAGATTAATAAATATATATGTAAATAAATACCTAAAACTGCAGGTCAATTAATGTTGCAAAAAAGTTTTTTAAAGTTTTATTCATAGAAGCGAATTTTCTACAGCAGACTTTCACGGTAAGCCGCAAAGCTAATTTAATCCATTTGGAGGGGAAATGTATAACTTACAATTCTTTAAATAAAAAATATATTATTAATATCTGACGAACTCCTTTTTATCCCTGTGGTTCGCTTTGCGGTTACTGGTGTCCTTCACAAAAAAATTAAATAAAATTGCAGGTCGTTTTTGAATTATTGCAAACGTTCCTTTTATACGGACCAAAAAGGTAGTGGAGTAGGTCCGCACAACTACACTTCCAGATAGGGCGTAGATCCTCGACACATCTTAATAAGAATATATTCGTAAAAGGGAGAATAAGTACCTCATCGCGACCTTTCAGAATGGGGAGTAAATCTTCACTCTCTCTAAATACCTGATTTACTTAACAATATGATAAGGAAAAGCTCTTAATTTTCTCATGATACCTAAAACTGGGAGTAGTACCTTACACTTGAGGGCAATCTATCTACCGCTGTAATAGTGCAGTTATATAACCTAGATATGCCGTGTTAAATGGTTGGGCTATTTTAAAAAGAAAAAAAAATAGTTTTTTGCCGCATTCAATGTTCTTTCAATATTTTTTGTTAGCTTAAGAACTCGTATATACTTGAATCGTTGATATAATTGAATTCAATTTAATAAAATTATATTTGGGCACTTACTTTGTTAGTATATCATTAATTATTATTTTCATTATAAATCAATTTTCGTTTTTTTTAGTCACAAGTCACCTGTTTTTGAAACTTGCAAGTTTTTACGGACTGAAATTTACCAAGCACGAATGTGCAGCTTTCTTTCTAAGCTAAACGTCGAAATTGCTCTCTCTCGTTACCGATCACGATCAAGTTTTATAGAAACCATGCACTGTATTTTTTTTAATAAATAACAACTAGAATTGAAAGGTTCTCAATAGTTTAATGCAGAACAAATGTATTGTAATTAAAGAATTTCTAAATTAATTAAATTATTATTTTTTTAAAAAAATTTCTATAGCTGGCAACTGTAACTTTTGGTGTCATATAATAAAAATGACATGAGTAAATAATGTCAAAAATGTGTAAAATTATAAAAAATCTAAGGGAAAGTTTTATATAGAACCCGATTTTCACATATTTTCTTTGTCTGTAATCAGAAATTCAGTAAACATTTTTACTGCCCATCTAGTCACCGAACACAAAGAACTAAAGGGTGTTTTTTTTAGTTCATCGCATCTCATTTTAATGAAAAATTGTCTTCGGCGACGAAGCTCGTTTTTAGCTTAATGGGTGCGTAAGCAAGAAGAATTGTCGATTTTGGAGTGAAGATCAGTCAGAAGCATTGCAAGAGCTGCCAATGCATCCAGAAAAAGTCACAGTTTGGTGCAGTTTAAGAGCTGGTGGGCCATGACCGTACTTCTTCAAAGATGATGCGAATCGTAACATAATTGTGAATGGTGAGCGCTACCGTGAGATGATATCAAGTTTTTTTTTTTGCCCGAAATGCAAGAGCTTGACTTGTATGACATGTGGTTTCAACAAGACGGTGCCACATGCCACACAGCACGAGTAACAATGGACTTATTGAGAGGCGAGTTCGGTGAACATCTTATTTCACGTACGGGACCGGTCAATTCGCCGCCTAGATCGTGCCTCTAGACTATTTTTATAGGCTATGTTAAATCTAATGTCCATACAGACAAGCCCGCTTCAATTGACGCATTGGACGACAAAATTGAAGCGTTTATTCGTGAGATACATTTATTCTCCATCTGGTCCAACCCCGTCGAAACAGCTCATTTCCTGGACCTACCACTAGATGACTTCGGCGACTTAGACTGATTAAACCTGTGCCTAAGCGGGGTTAGCGAACCGCTACAACAACAACAACAACAACAACAACAACAAAATATAACGACCGAAATGTTGAAAGGAATATGCCGAAATTGGACTAAGCAGATGGACAATTTGAAGCACAGTCAGTGACTACATTTGCATGAAATAATCTTCAAACATTAAATATATATGGATCTTACTATCGATTCAAATAACGATTTCATGCATTCTTCTGAATTTTATGTGTTTTTTTTTTTATTTTTTGAAAACTTTCTCATAGCTCTTAAGAAATCACCCTTTATTATCAATATTGTTTATTTTTTTTTTCCTAAGAAAATCAATATTGCCTAGCTGTTCCTTTTCGGTTCGGTGATGTTAAAGTAGAGCATTTTTTTTTTTTATTTGCAGACACAAAATAAGAATCGAGAAAAAAATCTTTAAAAACTCTTTAACTTAATGCACGGTATTTTGGTATCGTATCGTTGTATATGCATGTGCGTATCTACATGTGTATGTATATAGTTAAGGAGATATTCGAATCTTTAAAGTAAAAACGAAAACTATTCTCTGTTGATGTGTTGACAGCAACGAAAACGTTGAATGCCTATATACATACATATGTATATACATGTAATACATTCTTGCTGAAACTGTGTGAGATTATGTACAAATTTTTAATGTTATCAACATGCCTTGGTCAACACAAACGAGTATACTTCAGTCTCTCAACAATTTGTGTTGTGTGCTCGAATGCGTGGCTTGTGTACCACTTTTGGTTCTCATACAATGAGCTGCTGAGTGGCATAGAGCGTCAACGCTTCGCTTCTACACAGTAGTTTAGTGACAGTCCGCTGGTTCGAAACCTGACGGGGGAGTTTTGCGGCCTTCGCCGTTTTGTTTCCAAAAATGCTATTAATTTGTAACAATAATTTAATTTAAGAATTTAATAATTATTTCCTCTATTCAACAGCTTGGCAACTGTGGGTTTTTGATCATAATTGTAACACTGACCCACGTGGCTTTGCATTAACTGATGCAGCTGTTAAATTGAAAGCAATTTGACTCAGGCTTGTAGATTTATAACGTTAACGAAATTCGTGTAGTTATTTAGTCTAAACTCCCTGAGTTACAGTAATATTATTAAATAATGAGGCTTTAAACCAACATTCAACAGTCTTTGGTTTGTACATCGCTAGGACCGACATCGAAAACAATTTGAAAACAAGTTTTATGGATTGTGTTCTCAAGGGTGCTCGCACAAACTTTTAGTGGTTTCGCTGACAAATCGGACACATTTTGTTAACATTTGTTTGTAATAGGAAAATAATAAGCAGATAGCTATGTTCGGTTAGAAATGTTAATAAAAATAAGTCAGTACCGAAGTTAAGAATTTGTTAATATGAAAAATTAACTCAACGAAATGGTTTTTTTTCTTTTCGGCGCCATGTTATCGAACCCAAATGAAATTGTCAATCTTGAAATCGTACGAACTCAGCGTTAGCCCCCATGCGGATTCGGGCCTCAAGAATTTACCCGCGGTAAGGTATGCCTGTCGTAAGAGGCGACTACAATTTAATAATACTCTCGACAGTCGCGTCTTTATACCGGAAAGACCCGGATCTTTATTCGGCCAAGGTCTGCAACTTCCACAACATTCCCCAAAAACTACTTTGGGGAATATTTTTTGCGGTTACAACAGCGTTAACGTTACTTTTAAAATGACTGCTCACTATGATTTAACAGCACCAATGTTAACGTTTAACATCCTCTGTTACCGATTTAACACTAACGACAGCTTTTCGCTTCGGGTAAAAATGAAAGGATAGCATTTCAAAATGTTTCAACCCAACGATTGAATTTTTTCAACTAACGTGAAATTTATCGTTATGATGCAGGTTTGATATTTCAGTTCATCAAATTTTTCTTTCGCTTAAGTTGCAACATTTTTTTATGTTATTCGGGAAGAATGTTTTTCAAATCAATTTTCATTATTTAAATAAACGCTCACAGAACAACACAGAAATGCAAAATTGTTAATTCCAATTTTTATATTCAAGTTATTCGTTACGTACGTTGACAGACAGACAAAGCAAAATCAACTCGTCTTGCTATTCTGTGAAGGTTGTTGGTATTTTCACTAGAGCCGAGTATAATAAGTTTATCTATAAGCAGGTACGTATGTATGTCTTCATTCCTAAACCTTTAACACTTTTGTACGTACTTATAA